CCTCTTACCTTTCTCATTCTTTTTGCCCCACCAAGTGGCTTGCTGTATCATGTAATTTGGACGATAAAATATAAATTATTAGATGAAAGGATAATTATCAATATTAAGAGATTTATTTTTATTTAATTATTTAAATTATATTTTTTAATATAATTTAAATTATATAATATCTTTTCATAATCATGTTTTCCCGTCCAGATTGATCCAAACTATAAAACAGAAGTCATCTGACGGGGAAGGGCTTATAATATCAAGGTTGAACCTCTCATTAAGATTAGATGGTTAGTATTTTATCGTCTGAATCAATTTAAACTGTAAAACACTCTTTTGATTTTTTTTTTTTACAGAATAAGGTGGTTTGCCAGCAGAGTGTTTTTGAGTAAGTTTGTAAGTTGTGCAAAATGGACCCCTAATTAGACCTTCGAAGGCTATTGGACAATAGGACTTGGTTCATGTCTTGCAATCGGACTGGGCTTTTCTTGATTTTTCACAATCTGATCCCATGTCTGGACCAATTTTAGATAGGCCCATGTTGTCTAGCCCAACAAATATGACATCAAAGTCAACCAACCAAAACCAACAATCTTGGAAACTAAATTTTTCCCATTTTAAAGTGGTTAACACATTTTTATATATTAATATCATAAGAAAAGGAAGGTAAAAATAATATTTTTAATTTTTAATTTTTAATATAATGTTTAATCTTTAAATTTTTTTTGACATTTTTTTTTCAATTTTTTTCTCAAAATTTTTATATAAAATTTAGTTGATAACTTTTTTACAAATTTTTTTTCATATTAATTCTTCATTAAATACAAAAAAAATTATTAACTTACCAAAAATTTACAACAAACAATTAACTTTCCGTACAAAATTTTCTTAATTAATTTTTATTAAAGATTTTTTTTAATAAGAATAATAATAAATAAAATAAAATTTTAATATCAAAATTTAAAATTAATGACTTAATATAAATTATTTTATTTAAAGTGTTAAAAAATAAAAATTTAATTATTTAATAATTAAATTTTTTTTACCCTTTTTAAATTCATAATATTATATATATTAATATTAATTAATTTAATAACATAATATAAACAAATACAACTACTCCACCAAATTTTCCTCCTCCTTATCTTTATTCTACCAATAATGATGTCAAACAGCAACAACGACGTGAAAAGAACGAACACGAGTAGGCAAGTAGCTATCTATTAATGGTTGAATTGGTGAATTTTGATTCACAAACACAAACCAGAGGATAATACTTCTCAAAAATGGCACTCCTCTCATTTCGCTTTCCTCCTTACTCTCCTGTTCCTTCGTCTTCTACCCTGTCTCTTCCCATTGCTTCTCCAAGTCCCAGATGGTGTCCCTCTTGCCACCAACCCTCTGCCTCCGCCACATCCCTCCTCATCAGTCTCCGCCCAGTCGCAGCTTCCCAGGTCTGCCCTTCCACTCACCAACCACAACCTATTTTAATAGACAAGTCTTCGCTCATTGTCTCTGAAGCAGCGTCTGAGGATCAGTTCTGGGCTGCTGCTTCTCTCCGCGTCCGCACATTCTACAACTTCCAGCCTTCCTCGTACGGCATTCAAGTGAGCACTGTTTGCTTCCCTTTTTGTTCTCTCTTTTTGGGTTTCTTGGGGGTTCCTTCTTTCTTTTTAGATGTATAAAAGAATTCAGAGCAGCTGTTTTGGGACTAATGTTTCTTCAATAGCTTAGATTGTGGATTTAAATGTCAACAAAATTGTCACCATTGAACTATACAAGGAGCTTCTTGATTGCAGAAACATGATTTGGTATCCAATATTTTATGTTGCATTGCATCCATCAGATTGTCATTGATAGAGATGTTCATGAATTCTGTTAAAGAGATGGGCTTGACATTCTCCTCCTCCGAGGATGTCCTGGGATGAAATTCCCTTCCCCGAGGGTGTACCATATGATCAATACTTGATGGATCATTGAAATGTTTTCCCAAAAGGATTTTATTTTCTTTGGTTCTTTTATCTTCTCTGAACAAGATACTGATGGTATTTGTCCACTTCAAGTCCTATTAGGATCATAAAAAGTACTTGGTCGATCGTGAATTTGAAGCACTAAAAGAGCGAGTTGCTGGGAAAAGGGAAGGCTTTAATAAAGTTTCTTGCATAAATGCTACGCTTCCATTGTCACAGACATCAAGCTTTCCAGATGATTTATGCGCTGCATGTAAGGTTAGTTTGGTTTCTTTATGGTTTGTCTTGGCAGTTTCTTTTAATTTTTCAGCTTTATGTTTGTCAAATTAGGATATCGTTATTTACAATTTCTGAGGAGATTATAATATACGGTAAGCTAGAATTCATTACCCTCATAAGAATCAGAGTTCTTAACCCAAGGATGCCTCAACTGGTTAAGAACCTGAGATTCCCAGTTAGAGATCTCAAGTTCAAATCTTGAGTCAGGTGGGGAGGGATTAGAGAAAAGGGGAGCGCATCCCCTCTTGTATAGCTTATCATCAGATGTACCAAAAAGTAAGAATTAGAGTTCTATAGGGAGACTTAGGATAAACCTGAGGTACAGGATGTGTTGTTTTTTTTCCTCTTTCCTTAAATTCTTTGACATATTTTACCTGATGGATTTTGTTGTTCACCATCATAATGGATTGACCAAACTCAGTTGTCTACCATATTCTCAAATGCATTAAACTGTTTTTATTTATTTATTTTTGGAGTGGCAGTGGGGGGGTGTTATTGTGACCTCAATTGCCGAAAGTTCTGCTCTATTTCTAATATCATCTTAGTTGCCTTAAGTTGTGTTTTGTTATTTTGTTTGCATGCAATGCTCTGACATTATTACTTTCTTTGGTAAAATGTAAATTTATTACCTAAAACACAATGATACAAAGCAACACAGAAGGTTGCTATTGGGTTCTGAGTACAATGAATGAATAAATCAAAAAACTGAAAAACAATGTAGCTAACTAGAAAGTCTGTCTGTAGACAAGACTTCTATTCCCCAATTTGCTGCTATTTTTCGTGGCAGAGGAGACATTTTGAGCTTCGCAAAATCCAGTACTTAATCTCTAACATCTGACATTATTACTTTCTCCTGCATCTTCTCTAGTTCACTGATAATGGAGAAGATAGAGTAGTAGTTGGAACCCTTGATCTTAACCAGTGCCTTTGGCTTCCTGATGAAATAGCTGGAAAGAAACCAGAGGTACTAAATCGATGTCAATATTGACTTTCCTCATGCAATGTTTGCTTATTTATTTATTTCCTGTACTTCAAGGACTCTTTTTTATAACATAAGTGAACTACACTAGGAATTTATTTCAACAGGGGTTTAGTGCTGATTTTGCAAGAGGATACTTGGCAAATGTATGTGTTGCAAAGGAGCTGCACAGAAATGGACTGGGTTATGAACTTGTCAAAAAGTCAAAAATAGTTGCTGAAGAATGGGGTAATGGCTTCTTAATACCACTATGTTGCAAATCTCTTGTTTCCTGTCTGTCATGTATACCATCTATCTCATATATATGGCCTGTACTCTCCTGAGTCCATGAGCAATCCATATTCCTTGTTAACCTTGAATGTGGTTTGACTATTCTTGTTGAATCCTGGAATTCACCATATATATGTTACCCTTTTTTGGTTGTCTTGGAAAGGGCTTATCTCATTATCCACAATCCACAATCTGATAATGATATAAAACTATTTCTGTCCATACGCTTCACCCACCTATGGGGCAAATCAATTTCCTTCCTGCCTTTATTATTATTATTATTTTTTAAATTTATTTTATTTTTTTGTCTGAGGTCAGTTATACTAAGCTCTCCACTTTCTTGTCATTAGTGGATGAGTAGAGTTTGCCTATCCCATGTGCCATTGCCATCTCCCCTCCTTCCCTTTCTTCTGTGCTTGCCATCTAAGTCTGGAATCATGATGCATATGTTTCATTCTTGGATATAATTCATATGCTACTCTTATTTTCTAAATCCTGGTCTTTTTAGTGGATTGCAGTAATTGTTTCATATACCTACCTTTTTTTATGATATGGCATTATCTCAACTAGAAAAGTGGCCTGGTATGCAAATTTACACTGTTCATTTCAGGCATAACTGATCTGTATGTTCATGTTGCTGTCAACAATGAGCCGGCAAAGAAACTGTACATGAAAAGTGGTTTTGTATATGAGAATGACGAGCCTGCATGGCAAGCTAGGTTTCTGGACCGCCCACGAAGGATTCTATTATGGATTGGTCTCCCTGGTACTCTTGACTTGTAATGTTACATTCTACATTCTGCTTTGAATGCTTTGTTGAGTAATAACACTCTTATAACTTACCCCTATAGAATTTGGATAATGAAATGAACTAAAACCTAGCTTATGATTTATTATAATTAATTAAACCATCGCCTTTAAGGCCTACTTGGTTACTATGGATCTTGGAAAAAGGACCCGCAATAACCAACTAAAATTGATATGGCTTGGCTTAAGAAATTAAAGTTTTTAATATATAAATCAAGACATAATATAATTGGTTCCAAAAAAAAATGTAAT